CGAAGGGTACGGTTCTTGATTACTGTAGGTGGCTTGCAGCTTTTGGGAACCGTTTGAGGAACTGAATGGTCTGTAGCACATTAGAGCGTGTGCAGTAAGAAGTCCCAATGACCATCCACATAGAGTTGAGGGTGAACATCCCAAACCACCTGTTGTATATAGTCATGTAGAGCTGGAACATTCAGCTGTTTAAAATTCCAACGCAAATTATTGGTGGCGTATCTTAGCTTAGTTTTGCTGACAAAACTGAAGGCTATGACGGCATGATCGCTTTTTCCCAGGGAGCCAGGATTGAGAGGTTGTCAACTAGGAATTATTCGTTAGTGAATACACAGTCTAAGCGCGATGGTGTCTGACTGTTTCTCCAACGAGTTGCCGACCTCACATTTTCGAACAATCCCAAGTCATCGATGAGGTTGAAGAGCCGAGCTTCAGTTGAGTTGTCGCCTCCAGTATACGTGTGTTCCGCGAAGTTGACTCTAGGTAGATTAAAGTCCCCTAGAATCAGGATGTGTGTGAAACCGAGACGAGTAGAGCGGGATAGTCCTTCCAGCATACGACTATCGTACTCGATGTCGGCAGTTGGCTTCCTGTAAATGACTCCGACTAGACACCTGGAAGTACTAGACAATCTTACAGAGCACCATATGGATTCCTCAAGATTGTTAAACTTGAGGTTGTGAACCTGGTGCACCTCCAAGCAAGAGCTTATGTATATGGCTACTCCGTCCCCAATTCCTGTTTTTCTGTCGTTGCGGAACAAAGTCATCCCAGGCAATGCTAACTCTTGGTCCGAGAACTGAGAAGATATCCAGGTTTCAGATATTCTTATCAGATAGGCCTTTTTAGCGTTGCTAAGTTCACGTAGTTCACCCAGTTTCTTTGGTAGACTCGCGGCGTTCGTATATAAGCAGTTTATGCTTTCAATTTGGAACGCGTGAGCTTCGTCCTGTTTTTCTGTATGAACCTTATGTGAATGGACAGGTAGCCCACCTATGTGAGGTTTGCCGAGGTGGTAGGCCCTGTCCTTTACACGTTTTTTTTATCGTTTAGACAGTCCACAAGTGGAATGGTCAGCTCCAGCTTGCCTTTGTTCTTGGTTCTGACTTCGTATGGCCTATCCGGGTGCATGTGGATTCCAGGTGGCAATCGACGTCTATTAGCACGAAACGCTTCCAGAACTGCAGCCGCCATGTGGGAAGATGGGAAGGTTACCTTCACTAGACGGGTTCTAAGATCACCGTCCTTCTTGGCTAGTCTCGTCATATGCTGAGTCAGTATGTGTTTGAGCCTCAAGGACTGTTTGATGAATTTCCATTCCCTGATGTCAGAATTTGATTGAGTAGGGTCTGCATTTTCCGGTATACCTTGGACAATTATGTTTCTTCCGCGGAAGAACTTCTCTCGAGATTCTTTAGGGACGTTTCGTATGATACTGCGCTCAGAGTACGGTATGTCGGGCAGTATTCTTACGTTACCATCTGATTTCAGCAAGTGGCTTGCTAGCAAGACGTCCTCTACGTCGGTAGCATCCTTAAGTGTTACTCGGAGAAGCCTCGGGTGATTTAGATGCTTAGAATCCTTTCCTCGAGTGAGCCGGGTGACCGTCAAAGGCTCTATTCTAGGAAGTTCGAGCTTCTTGTTCAATTCACCCCAGAGCATCCTGTCGTTTTTGTCCTGCAGACTGAGAGGAAGGTCAGGATTGTCAACGAGGTTCATGATAATGAGAGAATCGTCACGAACTGATGTTAATTTACCAGGTTTCACGATGGGTTCAGGATTAATAACTTGTTGTTTGGAGGTCAGTGTGCGTTTATGAATCATGGGCTCTTTATTGACCGGACGAACAGTCTTGGGGGTAGACTGTGCGACTAAATCACCAGTTATTTTCCGTGCAGCAACACTTGGGTTGCTCGGCTTAGGCGGTGATGCCTGGTTCTTTTGGGCTCTCTTAACGTGGGTCGAATCACGTGCAGGGTTTTTGGTAACCACTGTTGTGTTCAGGGACCCTGAGCTGGGAGACCCGAGTTTGCCTAGGGAGTTCAGTACCGTCGACGTAATGATGGTACTGAGCCTCGACACGTCGTCGTTAGTGTTGGTGGATGCTCCATCGATGGAATACCTATCGACATCTCTGTTTTTGAGTCCGTTGCACGCTCTTGTTTGTATATCAGTTTTTTACTATCGTTTTCCAAGTTAACTGACAACTTGTTCCGAAGACCTGTCAGTAGGACAATGATGTTACTCAGCAAGACTACGGAGTCTGTGTTGCACGTGACACACACCCACTTTTGCTCTGACTTGCTGAGTCTGTTGTAAGCAGTTGCTGTCAGATATGTGCATGCTTCGTGGAACCAACCTTTGCAGTTGTCGCACTGCATGCCAGTTGTGACAGCAAAACGGCATCCCGGACGTTTACATGAGTTTTCATGACGGTGTTGAAGCAAATTATGTTATAGATGCTTGCAAAAGCGTAAGACCTTTAAAAAAACGCTAAAAAGCACACTGAAACGGACAAAAATGGATAAAACGAATGATATAAACTTAAACTAGTCTATACGTGAAAAACAAAAAAAACCGAATAGTAAGCTGAGGCAAAACCACAGGTAACTATTAAATATAGTGAAACTCAAAAAAAGTAATCTACCGAACGTATAGCTCAGGATAGATTCTTTAGAACTGAAATGGTACTTTTGTTGCGTAAGAACACAGCAAAAGTTTGATAAATGCAAATCACGTTAGGACTAAACTTCCCGTTCGAAAAGCGGTCAGTGTGTTGTGGACGGAATAGAAGAAGCTTTATCTTAACGTGCTTCCGTGTCTAGTAGCAGTGGATCATCAATACCTCCAGACAGGAAACTATATATTTTAACGATAATAGAGAAAAAAGAAATTGGTAAATCATAGTGAGATATTATCTTTAGTCCTTAAGAATAGATCAAGTTTCCTCTCGAAAGACTCCTGGGAAGTCTCTTGGATTAACTCAGCCGTCAGCGAAGTCCAGCATTTGACAACTCTTAAGCAGTAGAAGTTGTGTCTACAGGCCGTTCTGCTGTGTTATGTCTCCAGTTTCTGCGTATTACCCCTTAGGTTTGTGTTGGTGTCAAACTTAATTAGGTGCTTAAGGGGATGTTCAGAAGTGCTAAGGATACTGAAAGCCATCGGAAGGTCACCTCTAAGACGCTTACACTCTAATGGTTAAAGGTTTAGTGAACGGAGGCGCTCTTCATAAGGCTAGAATGAGTCCTCGAACTGATTTCGTGGCTTGGCGTTGGATACGTTCAAAAGTGTCCTTGTCCTTTTGGTGTGAGGTAGGTAATACTATGTTCCCGTGTTCTAAACGGGGACGAATGTAGCTGCTAAATATTATGTGGAAAGTTCTTCCGTCAACCTGGCCAAAAATGCGCTTTAATGTTACCAGTACAAGGTTCGCTCGAAAGGCATTTTTGTCACAGTTAGCGTAAGACTTCAAATCCTAGAGTACCAGCAATTAGGATACTTCTAAAAGAGAATCGCCCAAGTTGTAACTGTAGTCTGCAACATATCTCAGATGGACTACTTTACATTTTGAAGTGTTAAAGGTAAGTCTGTCCAAATTTGAGGTCGGGTCAGATCCTCCTGAAATGCCAGCACATACTCTTGGTTGAGTATCTCTCTCCGAAGTTTCACATCATCAGCTAAAATTAATACGTCAGGCGATACCTGTTGTGGAAGATTGTTTATGTGAATCAAGAAAAGAAGAGGTCCTAGTACTGAGCCCTGAGGAACCCCACTAGGACATCCCATAGCCTTAGAGAAGGTAGGGTTAACCCTGACCTTAAAATTTCGATTATTAGATATAAAGGGAGCTTGTCAATTAGCAGTGGTTTGATACCTAATCGTTTGAGCTTGGTGATAAGACATATATGGTTGACCCCTTTGAGAAGTAAAGGTAAATGACGTCAACCTTCCTCTTGCAATCAAGTATGCTTGTCCATCTGTCCACCACAGTCAGCAGGTTGGTTGTACAAGAATGGCCATTCCTGAAAGCATGCTGTTGGGGTGAAAAGAAATTTTTGAATAATGAATAATCATGTATTCGGTCTCAAACTACAGACTTCATAATTCTCGAAGGAATAGAGGGGAGAGCTATCAGGCGGTAGCTTGAAGGTGTGCTGTGTCGACTTCCTTTGAAGATTGGTGTGATGTGAGCCAGCTTCCGAATTTCCTGTAGTTTGCCTTGGCTTAGCGAGTTTGAGAAAAGATAGCAGAATGAAAAACATACGTGGCTAGGAGAAGTGTCTTTTCATAGGTGCTGCAGTTTCCGGTACGCCAAGTCAGTGCTCACGTTCCCTTCGGAAAGTCCTGTGCAGTTGTAGATAAAGTTTTCATCAATATAGCTTATGTGAGTCAGTTGAAATGTCCGAGAGTTTTGTTCAGCCAGAAAGTTAGCGGCGTCATCGTCATTACTGATAGGTTCACTAGGACCTAGCATTTGGAAAATTCCAGTTTTGGCGTGCCGAAGAGAGGCTACACAACGGAGTAAGCTTTTGGATTGAAGACAAATTCATTGATAAGCTATATCTAGTACTGAAGCCTGTTTTTTCTCATCGCTTTTGTGGATACGTATCTTAAAAATTTGTTGTCTGTAGGCTCTTATGTTACCAGTTCGTTTGTATTCCGCTCAAAAGTGTCGATATTCAGGGACTAAGAAACGAAGAGAGCAGTTCTTGATGAACGTAGGTAGCTCGCGAATTTTCGAGAACGTTTGAAGAAAAGACTGCCATGTAGAACACAAGGTGGTGTGCAGTAAAAGATTCATATGAGTATCCTGAGATGCTTCAACGAAATAATAATATCTATGTACTTGTTGAATGCTCGATTTCGAATTCCATATACAATACATTCGCTTGTGCTTGTGTCTTGCTTCCTAATCCAATTGCGTTATTTCTGGGACTCTTAGTTCGGGCTATAATTCAAATAATTCAAAACATTATATTGACGTCGCGATGGAGCCTGTAATGGAAAAGTTAGATATTCATTCAACTTCGGAAGCTTTTGTAGATTACTTTGAAAGGTTCGAAATCTGGGCTATGACCAAGGAAGATGATGAGGATGTTAATATTGTGGCACACTTCCTCACATTCATTGGGAGAGAAGCATACAGCTTATTAAGAATGCTGACTATGCCGGAAAAGCCTATCTCGCTTCCTTATACAACTCTCAAGGAACGGCTGCTAGACTATGTTAATTATACAAATTTCGAATGCGATAAAGGAGGAAGATCTCGCAAAATGATTCATGAGGATATAAAAAACACCACTACATTACTACGTCATCCCAACCCAGTGCATACTCAAGGTTATGCAGACAATTCATTGAGTTTGGATGCAGTTCACGAGGATGGGGACAAGTTTGGTCAGTGTTTGTCCTGTTGCAAGTTCCACTCTTCTAATTCATGTCGATTTCGTAATTCTAAGTGCTTCAAATGTCGTGATATTCGACAAGTTCAGTCAGTTTGTAATGCTAATGTTCATCTTACAGCAACTAATATTAAGTCTTGTAATTCTGATTCTACTGAGTCCAGTATTCATGATGATCATTTGTGTTTATCAACGATTTCAAAAGACAGTGCAGAGTCATATGGCAGTTCAGAGTTAAATGAAATCCAGAATTCTTGTGAGACAACAGTTCCTAATCAACCGATTTATCAGAATTCTCATGCTATTGTACCAGATATGACGTTTCCTAATGATTCCCATATTTCTGATGAAATTTCTTACAAATCTGAGGAAAATATGTTAAATGAACCTAATCATGATCGAAAACCTGATGTGGTTTGGATAGATGCTGATTTTTCTAACGATCCTACGCTCTGCAATGACAGTTCTAATGAATTTCATAAGAATATTTTAGAAGAATCAAATCCTGATGTCATATCATATATTACCTATCCTCATAATGCATTTGATCCATGTGAAAAACCTGCTCAATGCGAAGCACCAGTACTAAGTGACCTCGAGTTTGATTACATTTCGGATGATTTCATATCAACTGCTGTTTACCCTTATCACAAAAACAGTTCTAATGTTTACTCTAAACAATGTGAGAAATATGTTTTAAATGAAGCCACATTATTCATAACTTGGGGATATAAACATCCAACATTATTTCGTGGGGGAGGATAGTGTTGAAAAATCTATGGTTCGAATTATAGATATTAATGATTTCATTACGAAACCAACATGCTAGTTGTATACAATTCCAGGTGAGTCTGTTCCGATTTCGTTTGTTAATTCCAATACTAATGAGCACATTCTAGATACTACAAAGTATTTATCCAATACAATGTCGGACAGACTCAGGATGAACTTAAGAAGAAGACGCAAAACCGATTACAAATACTTATACTTCTATTTAAGCTGTGGCGGATGTGGTGTTTGAACGAACTAATAATACCTTTGTACTTGTTGAATGCTCGATATCGAATTCCATATACAATACATTCGCTTGTGCTTGTGTCTTGCTTCCTAATCCAATTGCGTTATTTCTGGGACTCTTAGTTCGTGCTATAATTCAAATAATTCAAAACATTATATTGACGTCGCGATGGAGCCTGTAATGGAAAAGTTAGATATTCATTCAACTTCGGAAGCTTTTGAAGATTACTTTGAAAGGTTCGAAATCTGGGCTATGACCAAGGAAGATGATGAGGATGTTAATATTGTGGCACACTTCCTCACATTCATTGGGAGAGAAGCATACAGCTTATTAAGAATGCTGACTATGCCGCAAAAGCCTATCTCGCTTCCTTATACAACTCTCAAGGAACGGCTGCTAGACTATGTTAATTATACAAATTTCGAATGCGATAAAGGAGGAAGATCTCGCAAAATGATTCATGAGGATATAAAAAACACCACTACATTACTACGTCATCCCAACCCAGTGCATACTCAAGGTTATGCAGACAATTCATTGAGTTTGGATGCAGTTCACGAGGATGGGGACAAGTTTGGTCAGTGTTTGTCCTGTTGCAAGTTCCACTCTTCTAATTCATGTCGATTTCGTAATTCTAAGTGCTTCAAATGTCGTGATATTCGACAAGTTCAGTCAGTTTGTAATGCTAATGTTCATCTTACAGCAACTAATATTAAGTCTTGTAATTCTGATTCTACTGAGTCCAGTATTCATGATGATCATTTGTGTTTATCAACGATTTCAAAAGACAGTGCAGAGTCATATGGCAGTTCAGAGTTAAATGAAATCCAGAATTCTTGTGAGACAACAGTTCCTAATCAACCGATTTATCAGAATTCTCATGCTATTGTACCAGATATGACGTTTCCTAATGATTCCCATATTTCTGATGAAATTTCTTACAAATCTGAGGAAAATATGTTAAATGAACCTAATCATGATCGAAAACCTGATGTGGTTTGGATAGATGCTGATTTTTCTAACGATCCTACGCTCTGCAATGACAGTTCTAATGAATTTCATAAGAATATTTTAGAAGAATCAAATCCTGATGTCATATCATATATTACCTATCCTCATAATGCATTTGATCCATGTGAAAACCTGCTCAATGCGAAGCACCAGTACTAAGTGACCTCGAGTTTGATTACATTTCGGATGATTTCATATCAACTGCTGTTTACCCTTATCACAAAAACAGTTCTAATGTTTACTCTAAACAATGTGAGAAATATGTTTTAAATGAAGCCACATTATTCATAACTTGGGGATATAAACATCCAACATTATTTCGTGGGGGAGGATAGTGTTGAAAAATCTATGGTTCGAATTATAGATATTAATGATTTCATTACAAAACCAACATGCTAGTTGTATACAATTCCAGGTGAGTCTGTTCCGATTTCGTTTGTTAATTCCAATACTAATGAGCACATTCTAGATACTACAAAGTATTTATCCAATACAATGTCGGACAGACTCAGGATGAACTTAAGAAGAAGACGCAAAACCGATTACAAATACTTATACTTCTATTTAAGCTGTGGCGGATGTGGTGTTTGAACGAACTAATAATACCTTTGTACTTGTTGAATGCTCGATTTCGAATTCCATATACAATACATTCGCTTGTGCTTGTGTCTTGCTTCCTAATCCAATTGCGTTATTTCTGGGACTCTTAGTTCGTGCTATAATTCAAATAATTCAAAACATTATATTGACGTCGCGATGGAGCCTGTAATGGAAAAGTTAGATATTCATTCAACTTCGGAAGCTTTTGAAGATTACTTTGAAAGGTTCGAAATCTGGGCTATGACCAAGGAAGATGATGAGGATGTTAATATTGTGGCACACTTCCTCACATTCATTGGGAGAGAAGCATACAGCTTATTAAGAATGCTGACTATGCCGGAAAAGCCTATCTCGCTTCCTTATACAACTCTCAAGGAACGGCTGCTAGACTATGTTAATTATACAAATTTCGAATGCGATAAAGGAGGAAGATCTCGCAAAATGATTCATGAGGATATAAAAAACACCACTACATTACTGCGTCATCCCAACCCAGTGCATACTCAAGGTGATGCAGACAATTCATTGAGTTTGGATGCAGTTCACGAGGATGGGGACAAGTTTGGTCAGTGTTTGTCCTGTTGCAAGTTCCACTCTTCTAATTCATGTCGATTTCGTAATTCTAAGTGCTTCAAATGTCGTGATATTCGACAAGTTCAGTCAGTTTGTAATGCTAATGTTCATCTTACAGCAACTAATATTAAGTCTTGTAATTCTGATTCTACTGAGTCCAGTATTCATGATGATCATTTGTGTTTATCAACGATTTCAAAAGACAGTGCAGAGTCATATGGCAGTTCAGAGTTAAATGAAATCCAGAATTCTTGTGAGACAACAGTTCCTAATCAACCGATTTATCAGAATTCTCATGCTATTGTACCAGATATGACTTTTCCTAATGATTCCCATATTTCTGATGAAATTTCTTACAAATCTGAGGAAAATATGTTAAATGAACCTAATCATGATCGAAAACCTGATGTGGTTTGGATAGATGCTGATTTTTCTAACGATCCTACGCTCTGCAATGACAGTTCTAATGAATTTCATAAGAATATTTTAGAAGAATCAAATCCTGATGTCATATCATATATTACCTATCCTCATAATGCATTTGATCCATGTGAAAAACCTGCTCAATGCGAAGCACCAGTACTAAGTGACCTCGAGTTTGATTACATTTCGGATGATTTCATATCAACTGCTGTTTACCCTTATCACAAAAACAGTTCTAATGTTTACTCTAAACAATGTGAGAAATATGTTTTAAATGAAGCCACATTATTCATAACTTGGGGATATAAACATCCAACATTATTTCGTGGGGGAGGATAGTGTTGAAAAATCTATGGTTCGAATTATAGATATTAATGATTTCATTACGAAAACCAACATGCTAGTTGTATACAATTCCAGGTGAGTCTGTTCCGATTTCGTTTGTTAATTCCAATACTAATGAGCACATTCTAGATACTACAAAGTATTTATCCAATACAATGTCGGACAGACTCAGGATGAACTTAAGAAGAAGACGCAAAACCGATTACAAATACTTATACTTCTATTTAAGCTGTGGCGGATGTGGTGTTTGAACGAACTAATAATACCTTTGTACTTGTTGAATGCTCGATATCGAATTCCATATACAATACATTCGCTTGTGCTTGTGTCTTGCTTCCTAATCCAATTGCGTTATTTCTGGGACTCTTAGTTCGTGCTATAATTCAAATAATTCAAAACATTATATTGACGTCGCGATGGAGCCTGTAATGGAAAAGTTAGATATTCATTCAACTTCGGAAGCTTTTGAAGATTACTTTGAAAGGTTCGAAATCTGGGCTATGACCAAGGAAGATGATGAGGATGTTAATATTGTGGCACACTTCCTCACATTCATTGGGAGAGAAGCATACAGCTTATTAAGAATGCTGACTATGCCGGAAAAGCCTATCTCGCTTCCTTATACAACTCTCAAGGAACGGCTGCTAGACTATGTTAATTATACAAATTTCGAATGCGATAAAGGAGGAAGATCTCGCAAAATGATTCATGAGGATATAAAAAACACCACTACATTACTACGTCATCCCAACCCAGTGCATACTCAAGGTTATGCAGACAATTCATTGAGTTTGGATGCAGTTCACGAGGATGGGGACAAGTTTGGTCAGTGTTTGTCCTGTTGCAAGTTCCACTCTTCTAATTCATGTCGATTTCGTAATTCTAAGTGCTTCAAATGTCGTGATATTCGACAAGTTCAGTCAGTTTGTAATGCTAATGTTCATCTTACAGCAACTAATATTAAGTCTTGTAATTCTGATTCTACTGAGTCCAGTATTCATGATGATCATTTGTGTTTATCAACGATTTCAAAAGACAGTGCAGAGTCATATGGCAGTTCAGAGTTAAATGAAATCCAGAATTCTTGTGAGACAACAGTTCCTAATCAACCGATTTATCAGAATTCTCATGCTATTGTACCAGATATGACGTTTCCTAATGATTCCCATATTTCTGATGAAATTTCTTACAAATCTGAGGAAAATATGTTAAATGAACCTAATCATGATCGAAAACCTGATGTGGTTTGGATAGATGCTGATTTTTCTAACGATCCTACGCTCTGCAATGACAGTTCTAATGAATTTCATAAGAATATTTTAGAAGAATCAAATCCTGATGTCATATCATATATTACCTATCCTCATAATGCATTTGATCCATGTGAAAAACCTGCTCAATGCGAAGCACCAGTACTAAGTGACCTCGAGTTTGATTACATTTCGGATGATTTCATATCAACTGCTGTTTACCCTTATCACAAAAACAGTTCTAATGTTTACTCTAAACAATGTGAGAAATATGTTTTAAATGAAGCCACATTATTCATAACTTGGGGATATAAACATCCAACATTATTTCGTGGGGGAGGATAGTGTTGAAAAATCTATGGTTCGAATTATAGATATTAATGATTTCATTACAAAACCAACATGCTAGTTGTATACAATTCCAGGTGAGTCTGTTCCGATTTCGTTTGTTAATTCCAATACTAATGAGCACATTCTAGATACTACAAAGTATTTATCCAATACAATGTCGGACAGACTCAGGATGAACTTAAGAAGAAGACGCA